AACTATCTCAGTCGGTGAAGATTTACAACCTCACTAAGCGATTTGCCATCATCCCCTAATATCTAGCGTCTAACCTCACTATTACTTACCCGGTGAATGTTAATTATTTCTTTGTCTGTTTAATTGGATAACATTGGTATAATGACTACTTGTTTCACGATAAGATGGTTTAAATATTTGGTAACTCAAAGACAATTTGGCGAGACTATAATTTACGGACAAACTAATCAGATATAAGATACATGATCTTGGATTTTATAGCGAAATTCATTCAGTCATTAGGCTAAATACAGCTTTGGGATTTGAGTTGATGTCACTTCGTGATAAAAATCCTAGATCTAATTTCTAAACCTAACCATCAACCATAAATCATAGTTCTTATTTACCACTCTAGTTTATAACCTTCATTTAGTCCTAGTTAGTGGGTGGATATTCTCAAGGTAACTATTGTGTCGCTCAAAAGTCGTCCATAAATTATAGTCTTACCAACAATTCTAATATCTAAATGACCAAATGATTCCGAACAACTGGGCTTTTTTGGTCCTGTTTGGCTGTTGTTAATTTATAGAATTAAATGTATTGTTTTAAAAATATGTTCGAATATTCATGCACTAGATGATTAATGAACATCAGTTGTATATAATAATTGAGTATTTTTTAGTGAACCAAGTGGTAAAATGGAATGATAAATATAGGCGTAGTAGTTCACTGATATATGTATTTTAATTATTACTTTCGGAACCAAAATTAATGACATTTAGCTATTCTGTGTTCGAGATTCAATGCTGTGTACCACATGGAATAAAATCCAGGATTATCAGCTGTTTAGGAGCAACAGGTAACTTTAGATAACTAATAAAAATAGATGGACATGACGTTTTGAATATGTGTTATCCATTTATAGGGCTGAAATTCATGTGTTCTGTTTGATGTGAAGTCGTAGTTTCTCATGCTACTGATTCTCCACTTTTTACTTGCTAAACCAATTGTAAGACTAATGAAAGTATATAACTTTAAAATAAGAGTTACTATAAACAGTGGTATGAATTTTATGTTCTCCGTTACATTGAAAAATATAACATAAAAATGTTTGTTCAATTGCATTACTGACAGAAGGGAACTTTGCAGGCAACAGACAAAGTAGCATAACTCATATCTAAATCAATACACTTCACTGATTGATTCATTAAGTTAAAAGTTTTCTGAAAAATCATTAGACAAATAAAAATATAGATTAGGGAACAGTTGAGTTCGTGAGTCAAATAATGCTTGACCACCATGGAAAACCTAGAAGTACTAAACGGCCGTTTCGTCCTAGGATGGGACTCCTCAGCAGTGCGTATTCATGATTCCGCTCGTGGGATTCGAACTAAGGACCTTCGGTCTCAATCATTAAATTAGTAAAATCTCCACAAAACCCCCCTTCAAATTAAGAAATACCAATCTCTTGGTAAGTTTTCTAAACTTTGCAACTAAAAAAACCGAATACATTGTTGATTCTATGAGTTTTGAACTGGATGGTTAGATAGATGCACAACTATCAATTTTTATCAATCTACTAAATATTAAAAATAAATTGAACGAAAATTCTAGCCACTGAATTGAGTAAAACAAAACACAACTAAAGCTGAATAGATCAGATGCACACATGTTATTGTATTGTTGCGAAAACTCCCAGACAACTATCCAAGTTTTAACTGATATGAAGCTAAATTTGGTAGATTAAACGTTTGTTAAAACTTACATTGACAGTTTATCCTTCCAAACAGATGGAAAGTTGAATACACATGTTATCAATTGATCAAACATTTACTTATCCATTTGTCTTGTATCAACATAGATGAGCAAGGTAAATAAGCATGTTTTGAATAAATTATTGAAACAGGATAATATTAACAGTTGAATTCATGAGTTGATCTAAGCCAGATCACTGTTGAAATTACTACATTCCCCACAAAATACCCAATCTGATAATATATATGTGCTCACTGGTGACTAGCTCCACGATGTAACTCCTGGAGTTCTAATAAAAAGCTGTGACCAGTGGAGTCCAAGTCCTTCTGGTGTGAGACAGTTATCTACCTCACACAATCGATGAATGGTTGAGCGAGATCATGGATCGATTGATGTTAGTTATTAACATCATTGGATGCTGACCGGCTCAGAGGTCTAGAAGTTAAGTGTTGGTCCGCGAGACCGGCTCGCATTCCGCGGGAGGGTCGATGGGTAAGCACTGCTGAGGAATCCCATTCTAAGACAAAACGACCTTCAAGTGCTCCTAGGTTTTCCATGGTGGTCTAGATTTATATTTATCCAACGTTGTTAAGTTACAATGAAAATAAGTTTATAAACAAACCAGTTTTTTTCATCATAATGTGTTTTCAATTTTAAAAAGGTGTCCCGATGATAGTGTTAACTTCGAAATGAAATTTTAATTTGCCTAATTTGGCAACATAGACAAGCTACACCTATATAGAAGGGAGACGTGGTTGGATTGACATTTTAGTTACATAATTAGAGATACACAATGACCAGATATAAATATTATGTGGTTTGCATTGTCTGATATGTTTTAACACAGTGTGTGGATTGTAAACAAAACCAAAATATGAACGATGTAATGGCGTGCAGTACTAAATGACAAATGTAGTTATTTTACGATATTTTCATGATAGAAAACTCAGAGTTCAGACTGTCAAATAGATAAAGAATTTCGCGCCGAAATTCAAGACCTGTTATCTTGTATCTGATTGGTTTGTCCGTGAATTATAGTCTCGCCATGCTTACGAATCAATAAAAAAAAGCTCAGAATGAAAGTAACGCAAACCACTTTCACTAATCCTACTTACTATTGTTAGGAAATATCTCAATTCTTCATACATGAACTCAAAATACTAAATTACAAGCATTTAATTCACTTGTGAATAATGATTAATAACGTTTTCTTATTTACAGTGACTGTTTGTTAAAATACATTCTTAAATACACGTAAAATAACAGCAATCAGATTAAATATATGTCAACCGAAGGGTTTCATTGATAAAAGCTTTCAACATATAACATGCTGAGGAGTCCCACAATAGGACGAAACGGCCGTCCAGTGCTTCCAGGTTTTCCATGGTGGTCTAGCTTCAATTGACTCATGATTTCAATCAGTGAAATTTCTAAAATCTCCACAAAACCCCTTCTGATATATATATCTTGAGAAACGTTTTAATCAAGGAAGATCACTACTGAATATAGCTTACCTTAAACAAACAAAGTATAAATGCTGGGGTATAAATTGTGTTAATTATTTGAATTTTATTGATTTATTCATTGGAAAAGGTGAAGAATCGTGCTTAAAAATTAGTGATTGACGAGTACTGAAGGACTGAGGGACAAGTAGAAATGGAGAAACGCTGAAACATAAAGCCTATAGATATGTTTTCGAAACAAAAATAATACGAAGTGACATTCTGCTGGATGATTAGTACAATAAATGATTTTACAAGTTGATAGCACAGAAAGCTGGATTTATTAACTCCTTAATCAACCACAAGAATTACGTCACTCGATAAGCTAATTTTGAATGAATAAAAAGGTATTAAGTAATAAGGGAAATGTTTTACTTCAAGATTGCTTTAGTAAAAGAAGTCTCAAATTTTCCGCATGGTTACATATAACTATTTGAATTATGGAAACGTCTGTAAAGTTTGTTGACAGTTGTTCTGGAACTCAAAACATCCGTCAACCGACACCAAGGTCAGCATTTTCAATACAAATGTCAAAGCAGTTCTACAGTATGGCCCGGAAACCTGAAGAACTACCACAACTATCATTCAGAAGATACAAGTGTTTATTAATAGTTGTCTACACAAAATACTTCAGATCCGTTGGCCAGACAATATCAGCAACAATCTACTATGGGATAGAACAAACCAGATCGCCGCGGAGGAAAAATTCAGGAAGAAGCGCTAGAAGTGGATAGGACACACATTGAGGAAAGTATCCAACTGTGTCACAACGCAAGCCCTCATATGGAATCCTCAAGGCCAAAGAAGGTGAGGAAGACCAAAGAACACATTATGCCGAGAAATGAAGACAGATATGAGAAAAATGAACAAGTATTGGAAGGAACTAGAAAAGAACTCCCAGGATAGATTGGTTCGGAGAACGCTGGTCGGCGGCCTATGCTTCATTGAGAGTAACAGGCGTAAGTAACTATAAAGTTTGTAGATAACAAGAGAGTTTGTTGAAAATTGATTAGTCTAATCAGAATGACAAAAAAGCGGACACAGAAATTTCGACATTTAAAATACTGATCATTAGTTGAATGTCATAAGAAAAGAGTTTTATTGTAAATTTTAAAATAACCCACCTTTGTTAAAAGCATATAAAAGATATATTTATTCAAAGATATACCTTAATAATAACTAATAAATATGTCAGACAATATTTTCATTGTGTAAAACACAACTATTTAGTGGACTTAACACTTTAAAATACATTTATCAAATAGAAATTACTAATGCAACTTATCTGTTTCAATCAACAACAAAAGAAAATAGATTTTAGAATTTCGATAGTAAACATTTCATATGGAGAGAACAAACCAGATTCCAGTGGAAGAAGAAATTAGGAAGAAGTGATAAAAGTGGATTGGACTCACATTCATGGTTTGGTTGAGGTTAGACATTAACACCATTGGATGCCGGCCAGCTCAGTGGTCCAAGTGGTTAAGCGCCTGGCGCGAGACTGATAGGTCCTGAGGAGTCCCATGCTACGACGAAACGGCCGTCCAGTGCTTCCATGTTTTCCATAGTGGTCTAGCTTCAATTGACTTACGATGTCAATCAAAAATAATTTATTATAGCTTAGTGATATTATTACTATCTTATACACAAGTAAACCTCCTAGTATACATTCTATTCATTTTATATTACAGTACATTCCAGGAACTATTGTATCCTCTTCTTTCAACTGGTAACTTATACAGTTATATATAATGAACACTTAAAATGCAAGTTGATTTCATACTAAAATTCTTCATTTATATTTCATTATTATTAAATATTTATATCATTAAATCTATTCCTATTCATGAAGCGAATGTATTTTATGTAAATGATGATACAAATGAAGGTCAACGAATAGGTCGTATTACACATTTCAATAATAATAATAATAATAATCAACCTATCAATTTTAAAACGGATCATTTCAAAGCTGTCATTGTACGTGGTAATCGTCCACCAGCTATTTATTTTCGTTTAGATGAAAATACTGGTGATTTATATACACGTACTATTATTGATCGTGAAGTATTATGTTTAAAACAATATCAAATCAATAAAAATTTAAATAATATACAAACTAATTTAAATATTGATTATTCTCAAATCAATTATCAATATAGATCAATATTATCATCAAATTCAAAAATTGTAGATCAATGTAAATTTACATTTCAAATAGCATTACATCGTAGATTTATATCTCAACAATTAAAAAATGATCATACAATAGAATCGAATTATCCTTATTTACCAGAATTTATTGATATTCATATTATAATTATTGATCGTAATGATCATATTCCTACATTTCAACCACATTCAATGATTAATTTATCAATACCAGAATCAGTTCCAATTGGTACACGTATACAATTACCATTAGCATATGATCCAGATTCACCAGAATTTAGTATACAACGTTATGAATTATATCCTATCACTATAACTGATTTTACATTATATATAGAAACAAAAGATATTCTATATAATACAAATATAATACAAGAAATAACTGGATTATATTTAGAAGTTAAAACAATACTTGATCGTGAATTATGTGATCATTATATACTTGAAGTGAAAGCATATGATTCATCATCAATAACAAATACAATAATTTCATCATCAATCAATGATAATCGTAATATCTTAAAAATATATTTAACTATTGAAGATATTAATGATAATGGACCAATATTTCAACCTCAAACTAATATCACACAAATGGAATCATCTACTGATAATATACCTATTTCAGTAATATCATCATTAACATCAATACAATCAACAAATATATTATGTTATAAAGTTGAAGTGATTGAATCAAGCTGGATTAAATCTCCTATCTTAAAATTGATTACAAAAGATTTAGATAGCGCGAAGTATTCATTAACAAAATATGAATTTGCTACAAATACCGAATATATAATAAAACAATTATTTAAATTAAATGAACATACTGGTGAATTATATTTAAAACAACCATTAGATTATGAAAAACATACTAGTTATACATTTGATGTATTAGCTATTGATAGTGAATATGATCGTCGTAGTAAATTAGATAATAATCTACAATTAGTGAATTCTCGTATACAAAATAATATTTTTACATCTACAGCAAATATCATTGTCAATGTATTAGATATTAATGATGAAATACCTATAATTGAATTAGATTATTTAAGAATAGATGAAACAACTGGTAGACCAGCTACATTTGCACGTATTGAAGAGAATAATGATCCACCACAATTTATAGCGGATATTTTAGTTACTGATCGTGATGCTAATGCCTTGAATAGTCATGTCATTTGTACATTAGTAAATAAATCAAATAGAATACACAATAATAATAATAATAATAAAACAGATACAATCAATACATCATTTCAATTAACTGAAGTAAAACGTCAACCCGGTCTAGTACAATATAATATGTTAACTGTAAATAGTTTAGATAGAGAAATAAATGGTGCAATTCTTCGTATAAAAATTCAATGTACTGATTCTGGTGAAATAAAAAAAACATCTGAAGTTGATATTATTATACATATTATAGATGTAAATGATAATAGTCCATCAATACAACTTATATCAAAAAATTTACATACAATACCAAATTCTAATGATAATTTTATTCATTTAAAAGAAAATACACCAACTGGTACAATAATTGCTTATTTTAATATAACTGATATAGATTATGGTGAGAATAGTCGTACAACATGTAAACTTTTATCAATTATAAATGATCCATTATTATCATTGAATATTCATGAATATTTTCATATTGATCCAATAACATGTAATTTAATAATACAAAAACCAATTGATCGTGAATTCACTTATCCACCATTAAATATAATTGATTTAATTATTGAAATTCATGATCATGGTCAACCAATACATAAATCAACTATAAATATAAAATTAAAAATTATTAATGAAAATGATAATAAACCATTATTTCAACATAAATTTTATCAATTTAATATTAAAGAAAATTTACCAATTGGTGTTAATGTTGGTCAATTAATTATTACTGATTTAGATGGAGATTATGATCAATTAATTGTTAAATTACATAAACAAGAACAATTACCATTTCAATTATGGAAATCAACTATCTCTTCATCATCATCATCATCCTCCTCCTCCTCATCATCATCATCATCATCGATTATTAATCAATATGAACCAAATGTTATGATATATTATTTAAATACAACTAAAATACTTGATCGTGAAGAAAAATCAATTTATGAATTTGATGTTTATGCAAATGATTTAATCAATGATAATAATCAATTATATAATCAATATAAATTATCAATCAATAATAATAATAATGATAATCATAAAACAAGTACAACAGTATTAGTTACAATTGAAGATGAAAATGATAATGATCCAATAATAATATTTCCACAACAATCAGATAAAATATTTATTCTATCAAATTTAGAAAAAAAATATTATCAATTAATGACAGTCAATGTAAATGATAAAGATTCTACATCAAATACATTTATATTTATGTTAGAACAAGAAGATTACATAAAAATCAATAATAATAATAATAATAATACATTAAAAAATAGTCAATCAAATGAAATCGATATCGATCATCCTAAATCATTAGATCCAATCAATCAATTACCAATCAATTCATTTTTAGATATTGATCGTAGTTTAGGTAATATATATTTAAATAGAGATTTACAACAAAATGATACAGGTACTTATATTTATTATATTATTGTACATGATAGTATAATTAATCCACGTACAGCTTCACTTCGATTTATTGTTAAAATAGAATCAATACCATTATATACAAATCAATTAAAATCTAATTATTTATTCAAAAATCAATATAATGAAAATATTATAATGAATACAAAATATATTGAAACAAATGATGATTATACTACTTATTATTCTACTAATAAAAAATTAAATAATTCTTCTAATTTATTATTATCAGCATCACCATCATCTATATTATATTCATCATCATCTAAACAATTAACACATCGTTTAACAAATGATACAATATTAATACTTTCATTAGGTTTAATATTATTAATATTATTAGCTACATTATGTTTAATTATATTTGCACGTCATTGGTCATCCAATTCAACGATACAACATCATTCTATTATAACATCAGATAAAATTCAATGTTCTAAATTATTTTGTTTTAATACATCAAATCGTAAACAATTAAATAATAATAATAATAATAATATGAAAATGGATAAAATTGAAGTGATGAGCATCTTACAACCAACACATTCCCATTCCTATTCTCATTCACCAAATACACAGAATACTTGTTCACCAACCAACTGTAATATTAATAATAATAATAATAATAGTAATATGAGAATAGATAAAAATGAAGTGATGAGCATTTTACAATCAACACATTCCCATCCTCATTCCTATCCCTATTCACCAAATACACAGAATACTTGTTCACCAATCAATCGTAATAATAATAATAATAACAATACAATCATTCAATACATTCAATACACATTTGAATGATTCATATAAACAAAAAACTATAGATACTGATAATATTTATTATCATGATTGTAAACAATTTACATTATTACCTATTATAACAAGTTCATATAATTCAATGAATGAATTATATCCAATTGATGATTATACAACATTACAAACAATGAATACATGTAAATGTTATACACCATCATCTATAAAATCTACTACATATAATGTAAATCATAATTTCAATGATTCTATTATAATACAACCTATAAAACATAATACATTACAATTCAATCAATTGACTACTACTACTACTACTACTAATAATAATAATAATAGTAATAATAATCCTATTTCATATTATACAAGTTTATCACCAAAATTAAAGTCTGATCATTTCATTGAAAAACGTAAAGTAAGAATTATGTCAATGGATGAGAATATTGATCATGAAATAGAGAAAAATTCTCCTTCTGAATATTTAACAACTTGATTAATAATAATATTACTATTGAGTATGTAAGTAGTTTATTCAGAACTTTATTAATATAAATCATTATATCAGAGAGGGGTTTTGTGGATATTATAGTAGTTTTTAATAATTGAGATCATGATTCAAATAAAACTAGACCACCATGGAAAGCTTGAAAGTACTGGAAGGCTGTTTCGTCATATTGTGGCACTCCTCAGCAGTATGCATCCATAATCCTGCATCGCGAGATTTGAACCCAGGACCTATAGGTCTCGCGCACGAACGCTTAACCACTACATCACTGAGATGGCCGGTATTCAATGGTGTTAATTTCTAACTTCAAACAATCCACACAAAAAAAGCGACACATCACTTATTGTCATCAGTGAGTTACTATCTAACAACAGACCCGGTTGAACTCGAGTGGTCACTACTTCTCACTACAACTTGAGGAAATACCTCTTGAAGGCAGTCACTAATGAGCATATATTGATTCGTATCAGAAGGGGTTTTGTGAATATTATAGTAGTTTTTAATAGTTGAGATCATGAGTCAATTAAAACTAGATCACTATGGACAGCTTGAAAAAGTACTAGACGGCTGTTTCGTCATATTGTGGGACTCTTCAACATTATGCACCCATAATCCCGCATCGCAAGATTCGAACCCAAGCCCTGTAGGTCTCATGCATGAATGCTTAACCAGTGCTTTCAGGTTTAATTCTATAAGATAAAGGCCAATTCAAGTGTTAGATAAGTGAAGTTGAACAAATTACTCTGTTATTTAAGAGGTGTTACCAAAAAGTAATCCTAGAAATTTAATAATTGGAGTTATAAAAAATGATAATCACTAGATTACCTTCCACATAATTACTTAACTTGTATTCTGACTTAAATGTGTAGGTTAGTTTCTGTATAGCAGTATTAGTTCTATGAATATTATAGTAATGCTATGTTAATGAACACTATGTCTACATACGTCTAAGCATTACTTCCGTAATAAAATAACATCGTCTTAGATAGTTGACTAAAAATAGAATTTCTTTCAATTTAGGTGCTAACACCATACTGCTACGTGATCTGAATAGATTTGTTTATTGTATGGGGTTGTGAAGTTTGTGAGTTTTTATTGAGATCATGAACTGATGAAAATTAGATCACCATTGAAAATATAAGATGATCGTATAATATCGTGAACTGATAAAAGTTAGACATTAATATCGTTATATGCCGAATCAGTAAACTCGAGGTTAAGTGTTCGTGCGCGAGATCAAAGGTCAAGAGTTCGAGTCCAGTGTGTGAGATCGTGTAAGTGCACTGCGAAGGAGTCCCATACGAGAATGATGACCTAACATTGATCGTTTCATGACCATAATTATAATAATTGTTATTTTTTAAATATCCATAAAATAATCAAGTACAGCTCCTCCTAAAAATAGCTTTGTTAAATAAAAAGTAATTTGCCATAAAATTCATTTTGTATTATTTGTTTGAATCTTCCAACTAACGTTTAGGACTAAAATTTATCAGTCTCTCTTTGGCATATGTGTATCGTGTACTGATTTCCTCGATATTGCCTTAATTCATAAGCATTTTAAGTAAAGATGGATGGTGGCTAGCAGTAGAATCCTGAATCCACTTTTCCTCCTACTTGGAACTCGTCAGCTAGATGTACCTGAATCCCAGAGTTGATGTTCACTCCAGGATTCGAACCAGGCTGGATTCGTACACGTTATGAATTACATTATTAGCCACCATCTATCATTGCTTATAATTTTTCATTAGTTTCTAATCTAACATATTAATAAACATTTACTGAGTTACATTTCAAGTTAATTACATCTATTACTTATGTTAGTTACCAATGTCTAGAATTGTAAATAATCAATATTAGTACATTATTATTCTATAATTATTTGATAATTAACATAAATTACATTAATGATTCGTTTTAAAGGAAATGATAGATGATTGTACTGTTGAAATATTGGACAACGATAAGAAGAAGAATCTATCATCATTATCATCCACATTATCTTTAATAGTATGACTATTACCTTCAATTAACACAAATGTCAAGATATAGAATGTCTAAATTATGAATGGTATTTATATCATCTGGATAAATAATTTAATAAACAAACACTCATGCACATGCATTCACCTACGGGCATACAAACAAATAGAAATAAGCATCTTATAAAGAGACTAATCAATTTGTAATGATCAAAATATAATGAGTATCTTTCCCCTATTTTTTTCATCTTTGTTTATAATGAAAGGTTCAATTTCCATGTCAATTATCATTGAAACATTACTAAACAGAAACAATATTTGAAAAGATCTTTTGTTCATGTATATACAAGCATGTGTGTGTACATTTATTTTTGGTGTATTTTCAAACTGATGCAAAGATTTACTTACAATATTTATTTATTTATTTAAACACATAAACATTGGTACAAGGAGGCACCAAATACATATGCGCCACATAGATCATTCGATTTGTGTGAGGGCTGGGACAGTGCCCGGGTGCCCAGACCGAAACAGGTGGTTTTATTGGGGGGTCACAGCCCGAGCCTTTGACCTAAAGGTCTAACCCACAAGGCAGTAGAGCAGCGTGAGGAGATGCAGCCCCATGGTATCCGGTAACCAACGATTAGTTCATACGCCATTTGTTCCCTCAGGATACTGGAGCCCATGTGCACCATTGGTTTGGAATCCGGTTAAAGCGCCGGACATTCGCTTTTCGTCCTCTCAATTTCGTAAGCAACACCCCCGCCACGAGGAGGCAATGAGAAGAACTTCCCTGACAGAGGCTGTATACGCGTGACCGTGTGAGAGCATTTCGAGAAGGAGGGCGGGCCCACCCCACTCTCAGCCATAGCAGGGCACTTATAATATATAAGTGTAGTTCTATACAGAGAATAAACAAGATAATAATAATGATATGTAAGATACTAATACAACTGATATCATTGTAATTCACTTTAATCGTATAATACTCCGACATCTTTACAACACAATAGATCACTCGATTACTTAGAATTAAGTAGGTTTAAATACGTTTAGATCGTCTATCATTTGTTAAATATTTAAATATATTTCATAGTAATACTAATACTAATATATTCGGAAAAATCGTATGCTAACTGTTAATATTTTGTGAATACAATCGAAGTGTAATAAAAATGTGAATGTGTTTCACTGATTCCAAGCACCTTCAGATTGTATTTCTTCATTTCTGCAGCAATTCGTAAGACTTTTCCCAATCTCTCACATTGTACAAGCATTCCATTTATCTAAATTAATGGTTGTTCTACTTGTCAGAAAGGGAATTAGCTTCATGTGTCTTCTGAAATGAAACTTTTGAAGAGATAATCTAGAATGTTTGTTTGTTTGTTTGTTTTTGCAGAGAAATCAATCAATTTTCCTTTTTATACTTTTAATACTACATAAGATTATGAATAAGAATTAACATTAACCATATCAGTTTCCCTAAGGTGGTTATTCTCATTTACCCTTCAAATTGTAATATACACACATTTTCAATGATATTGAATAGTAAAACAAAAAATATAAATTTTTGGGACATTTTAAATTATGATAAATGTCAAATATTAAATGGACTAAAATGAAACTCATAAAATATAAAGTAAATTGAAAAGTAACTATATAAATAACATTAATGAATGAATGAATAAAAACTAAGCCATAAAATTGATAATACTAAATACTTATGATATTAATATCCAATTAGGTATATAATTTCCTAGGTGATAATTATAAGTTCTATTTAAAAATTAAAAAAACAAATGTGGTAATCACTATATAGTTCTTTTTTCAGTAAATTTATTATCAAGCTGTACAGTCGTATAGATAGATAGAGAGATAGATAGATAGATAGATAGATAGATAGATAGATAGATAGATAGATAGATAGATAGATAGATAGATAGATAGATAGATAGATAGATAGATAGATAGATAGATAGATAGATAGATAGATAGATAGATAGATAGATAGATAGATAGATAGATAGATAGATAGATAGATAGATAGATAGATAGATAGATAGATAGATAGATAGATAGATAGATAGATAGATAGATAGATAGATAGATAGATAGATAGATAGATAGATAGATAGATAGATAGATAGATAGATAGATAGATAGATAGATAGATAGATAGATAGATAGATAGATAGATAGATAGATAGATAGATAGATAGATAGATAGATAGATAGATAGATACTACATACATACTACATACATACATACATACATACTACATACATACATACATACATACTACATACATACATACATACATACATACATACATACATACATACATACATACTACATACATACATACATACATACATACATACATACTACATACATACATACATACATAAAATGTGAACTGTGAATAAACATGATGATCTAATAAAATTGTACAATTCGATCAGAAATTTGCAATATAAGATTTGTAAAAAAATTTTCTATTATTTAAAACATTAGTTGATTTTAGTTAGAACAATAATGAAAACCAGAAAGATCTAGACAACTGTTTTACTCTGATGAGAATCTATGACCAGTGGAGATCAACCATATAGAATATAAGATAGATGATCACTGTAAATAATGAATGATAAAATTTTAGAATCGTGAATTAGTTGTAACTAAACGTGTACATCATTGCATACGGACTTTGTTTTAGATATTATGACTTAACTAATGAGACTGAAATTCTTGGATTAAACTCCTTATGATGGGGTCGTGGATTTCGATTACTGATGAGTTACATACTAGAATGGAACAGTTGTTCAATGTTTCCTTGTTTTTCATAATGGTCTAGCTAAGATCAGTTTCATCTTGAAATAAAACGGTTTCATATTTTTATACCAGTAAATAGATAAACATCAATGAGTGATTGAGAGAAATAAGATTTTTCACAATATGAATTTAATGAATGAATGAATTTATCAGACTTTCGTTGACTTCCAGGTGTT